AGGCTTGGGATCTGGAAGCTGGCTGGTTGCAGATTTGGCAGCCATCTGGTCATGGGGCTTTGCAGTGGCGCTTTGGCATGGCGATTGTGCCCGAGAATGCAGCGGCCTTGCGCATTATCGCCTCCTCAGCTAGCTCTTCTGGGGCCGTAGCCTTGGATGCCATCTCGACGTCCGTCATCTCCCCCTCCTACGAGATTCTGACCTGCAGCTTCGAGGCAGACACCTGCGGGTGGACCGTATCCGATGCCCAGGCTCGGGTTGCAAAGAGACGAGCGGCAACCTTCCAGCAGAAATGCACTGTGCCCGGAGGCTTGGAAGCTCAGATCCGGCTTTGATTTCACGAACCAACATTCTGGCCCTTCGGGCCCTTGGAAGGGCAGTGGGTGCATGCTGCTGTCTTTGTCCGAAGCAGAGCATCAGGCTTGGCCAATCTAGTGTAAATGGCTTTTGCTATATTATAACTCTTGCCCAGTCCGGACCAATGTCTTGACCTCGTCAGTTGAACATGTCAGGAGTTCGTGCTGGAGAGTCCGTGGTTCAGCCCTGGAGATGAACATGAGATTCAACTGAATTTTGCATTCCATATGTTTGGAGAGGATGTGGAAAGCCTCGAGCTGCAGTATGCGGACAATACAAGTTGGAAGGCTCTCTGGCATAGATCTGGCAATTCAGGGACAGGACTGGCGCCGTGCTTCGGTCCGTTTGCCGCAACACGCAGAGGCAGTGCGCTTCGTGGGCACGATAGGTGCTCAGGGTCTGGCGCGTGACATGGCGGTCGACGAATTTAGCGTGGGTCCCGCGGAGTCTGCCGCATTATCGTGTGACTTTGAGCTGGATGTGTGCAGTTGGGAGTTCGGCAGCTGGCAGAGAGTTTCTGGAAGAGATGCCGCCGGCCAGCCTCTGGCCAATGATGGAGATTGGCATCTGGAAGCAGGCGGCACATCCCAACCTGCCATATTCGTTCTCGAGAGCCCGGTAATTCTGACCTCCAATGCGGTTGCCTTCACCCTGGCATACCGAATCATTGGATCGGAGGGCGCAAAGCTGGAACTGCAGCACAAGACTGAAAACAGCACATGGATCAGGCTGTTTGTACAGGCGGGCCACCAAGGGCATAGATGGCAGCATGCAGCTATCAACATCCCACAGGGGTCGACTGCGCTGCGAATCACGGCTACAACCGCCATGGCCGAGGATAGTGTCTTCGTAGACTCATTGTATGCCCTGGACATGGTACCTGAGGTGGAGAACCTCAGCTGCAGATTTACCGGTGCCGATTTGTGTGGGTGGACAACAGGCACCTGGCGCCGGGACAGCAACGATTATGTGTTCTACATTCACCATCAAGATGTTGGGCAGGTCCGGCGCTCAACTTCACAGCGTGCATCTCAGGTTGTGAGTGAGCTTATGAGAGATGTTTGTTGCGCATGAGGCCAAGCTGACAAGCCGGCCCTTCCTCGTGCAGGGGCCAAGTTATGTAGAGTTCTGGTATGGCACGAGTGGGCATCCAGGAACTTTGACCTTGGAGTTCCTGATGCGTGGCCGCTGGTGGAGGCTGTGGTCACAGACCGGCCCACACGGCGACCAGTGGAATGAAGCAAAGCTGTCCGTTCCGGAACAAGCGCGGCAATTTCGTTTCCGAACTTCTGAGTGGCCGACAAGCACCAATTCCGCTAGCGCATTTTATCTCTGGAGTATCACGCTCAGCAAAACCCCTGCAAGTAGAAGCTACCTTACTCTGGCAGTTGGAGGAAACCACAACTGTGCGGTGCTGTCCTCCACAGGCCAGGTCAAATGTTGGGGCTTTTCTTCGTACTTGGGCCTTGGTCTTTCAACATCTGCCGGGGTGGGGGACGATCCAGATGAAATGGGAGTTAACCTGCCGATCGTGGACCTAGGCGAGAGAGTTGAGCAGGTGACTTGCGACAACTTTGATTGTTGTGCGGTTCTTGCTGATGGAGCTTTGAAATGCTGGGGATCTGAGAGCGCCTTGCCTTCTCTTGTGGACTTGGGCACCGGGGTGAAAGTGAGGCAAGTGTCCAACGGCTACCAGCACAGGTGTGCTCTACTGCAGGACGGAGCTGTGAAATGCTGGGGATGGAATGACAACGGCCAGTTAGGCCTAGGTGATTCGCAGACTCGAGGCCGGGGCGGGGATTCCGACATGGGAGACAACCTCCCTGCGATCGACTTGGGCGCAGACTTTACTGTCAGCCAGCTTACCGCCGGGATATTTCACACGTGCGCTCTGTCTAGTGATGGTGAAGTCAAGTGCTGGGGTGGCAATCAGTATAGCCAGCTGGGAGGAAGTGCAGGCAACATTGGGGACCAGCCTGGAACCATGGGCACCTCCCTTGCACCCATGGAGCTAGGAAGCAAAGCTACATACATAGCAGCTGCAGGAGGACACTCCTGTGCAGTTCTAGAGAGTGGCGCTGCAGTGTGTTGGGGTGCCAACTGGAATGGACAGCTTGGTCTCGGCAGCACTCAGGCCTTCGGTCAGAACAGCAGCGAGATGGGGGCCAACATGCCGCATGTTCCACTTGGCACCGGCATGTTTGCTAAAAGTGTAAGTGTGAGCCCCTACCACTCCTGTGCCATTCTGCAAGATGCCTCGCTCAAATGCTGGGGGAGCGGCGCATATGGTACCCTGGGTCAAGGTTCCACAGATGATTTGGGAGACGAACCGAACGAGATGGGCGACAATTTGCGTCCCATCAACATCGGCAGTCTTAGAGTGTTGCAGGTAGGTGTTGGTGGCTGGCACACATGTGCTCTATTCGACGATGATAGCACTAGGTGCTGGGGACGGTCTGCGCCGCGTGGCACACTTGGCACTGGCAGCGGCGACAATGTTGGTGATGGTGCGAATGAAATGGGCAGCAATCTGGTGGCTGCAGATTTGTTCAGGCCGACCCTTCGAGAACAGGTGGATGGTTTTCGTCTCAGGGGAGGAGATGAGCGCCAGGGTTGGTTGGAGCTGTCGCAGAATGGGACATGGGGCGTAATTTGTGATGATGCCTGGTTCCAAAGCACAGCAGCTGCTGAAGCGGCCTGCAGGGACTTAGGCATGGCAGGGGGGACGCCCCTTTCATTTGATGCTGGAAGTGCACCCATCCTTGCCGATGGAATGAAGTGCAGTGAGGGCGAGGTGACTCTGCGCGACTGCACATTCAGAGGTTGGAGCATCCACGACTGCACTTCAAGAGAAGCAGCAGGCAGGTCTGATTTGAAAGTCCGCTGTAGGTCTGCTTGAACATGTGTCAATTGACTGCAGCAGCCTGAACGTGCTTTCTGCAGGTGTGCAGTGCGAGCTGGATACATGGAGCAGCTTCACTGCCCCAGGTCCTTCAGGTCGCCAGGATCATACAATGGCATGGGACTCCGTGTCTCAGTCGGCTTTGCTGCTGGGGGGGCATGCAAGCAGCCAGTTCTTGCACTTCAGCGACTTGTGGCAATACCGCTGGCCGCTTCGTCGCTGGACTCAGTTGCACCCACAGGGCTCAGCACCAACCACCCGGTCCGGCCATTCAGCCGTGTTCGATGCACACTCCAAATCCATGCTGGTGTTTGCCGGGGGCCACTTGGGAAACTTCTACAACGAGCTGTGGCAGTTCTTGATGAGCTCGACTGCCTGGCAGCAGCTCGCATCCGTGCTGCCGCCAGCACCGCGGGCCAAGCATTCAGCAGTTTGGGATGCGAAGCGCCAGGGCATGGTGGTTTTTGGTGGCCACAATCCCCTGGCTTTGGGCGACCTTAGCCATTATGACATGCGTCGCAACACATGGTCCTCGTTGGCCGCAGGTCCTGTGGCACGTAGTGGCCATGCTGCTGTTTGGGAGCCAGTCACAGCATCCTTGCTGGTCTGTGGTGGATGGACTGGTACGGAGTACCTCCAAGATCTCCAGCTTTACAACTGGTGGTCCAACACTTGGAAGGAGCTTGAACCCGTAGGAAGTCCCTGGCCCAGGGCCGGGCATGCTGCCGTTTGGGATGAGGCGTCCATGTCAATGCTCGTCTTTGGTGGGGTGGAAGATTCAAACGGTACATTGAACTATGACCCCGTGCTTCATTTCTACAACTTCCTGGCGAACAGTTGGACCGAGGCGAACAGATCTGGTCCCACTGGCCGTACAGATCCGAGCGTTGTCTGGGACAGCAGCACCCAGGCTCTTCTGGCTTTCGGCGGCTTCAACAGCTCCTATTTGGATGACCTCTGGCGATATGTCACGTCACCTCTTGAGCTGCCACTGCTTCTTGTTAACTGTCGCATCGGGGAAACTTGCCTAACAAACGCAAGTTCAGGCTCAGGCCTTGAAGCAGCCACTTTGACCATTCGGAGCTCCTGCTCGGTGCAGGGCACAGCGCTGGCCTCATTTCGTGAAACTTCAGATGGGCAGTCTTTCGTTCAACAGGACAACCAATCGAGCATGTGGCTGGAAGCTGGAAGCTATCAGATATGCTTTTGCAGGCCGGACCAGTCGCAGTCGGTTGGGGCATGCAGTACCTCTTTTGACTTTGCCGTTGGTTCTCTCATAGTAGAAGGGCCTTATCCTGACCAGCACGCAGAATGCCATCTTGGAAGCAGATGCCAAATACCTTCTTGGAGAGGTGTCGGGTTGTCCGCCAATGATTCTCTACACCCACTGCGCCGCTGCGGCTCGACGGACCTGACAAGCCTTGGGGAGCGATCCATTGCTTTGTTGGCAGAGGGCTCCAGTTTCACAGTGGACGTCGGAGACGTGGAGATGACACGTGTGCCCGAACTGGTTCTTTTGTGTTGGTGCTCATCAGACTGCACAGAGGCCAGGGACTTCCGGGTCCCAGCCTTACAGCTGCGCTTGGTATGCCCACAAGGCTGGCATAAACTGGAGGATGTTTGCGAGCAGTGCCCGCAAGATCACTTCTGCCCCGGAGACGAGCAGAGCTACCGATGTCCATTTGCCAGCACCGCAGCGCCCGGCTCCAGTCGGCTCCTCAGGCCAATGTTGTTTCTTTTGGTGCGGGTGCCTGATGTGGCCAATGCGTGTGTTGGCTGCATGCTGAGGTGACATCTTACAGTGCGAATGCACTCGTGGCTATTATCGCAATTCTGATTCATGTCTCGCATGCCCCTATGGATCAACATCGCAGGCAGGGGCCACCTCATTGGCTTCATGTGCATGCCTGCCGAACTTTGTGAACACACAGCCTGACAATCCTGCTATCTGCCAGTGCGGTCCGGGATTCGGCTTCAATGGAGACCTTGCGGTGTGTGAACCCTGCCCTCAAGGGTCCTACAAGGCTGTGGCAGGTGATACCTTGTGTTCCAGTTGTTCAGCAGACAAGACCACCTTGACTGAAGCTTCCATATCAGCCTTAGATTGCTTGTGCCGCTCTGGGCTGGCCGCCAACGGCACGGGCTGCACAGACTGTCCTCCGGGCTTCTTCTGCGATGCCGGAGAGGTTACTGCATGCCAAGCAGGCTCTAACTCGACGCCTGGGACGAGGTCACCCGATGGCTGCATCTGTAAAGAGGGGTATTACCAGAAGGATTTTGCTTGCGAGCTTTGCCAACCGGGCCGATACAAACCCACTGAGGGCAACCAAGCACTTTGCCCCGGTCAGTGCCCCACAAGTGGCGAGAGTGCGAAGGGCTCCATTAGCCTGTCTGATTGCTCCTGCCTTTCGGGCTTCCTGGCAATTTTGGAGGAACATTTTTGCAATTCAAAAGCTGGAACGGCATTGTCTTTCTCTGAGAACAAGCTGAGGCTTCTATGCCGAGCTTGATGCTGCTGGGTTTCTTTCGCGGTGCGCCAGCTGCGCCACGTTCCTCACTGCGGCAGACAGAAGTCGGATTGTTCCCATGCAGTAAGAGTAGCACAAATAGCGTCTTTTCCTGCAAAGCGGCGAGGTTCACCGCCTTGCAATGTCCTGGCGGCTTTAGAGACCAAACCAACTCCCACCAATTGCCTGTTGCGATCCCGGGCTACTTCCAGACGAGCGCTATGGCTGCAAACAGAGTGAGGTGTTACCTTACAGCTTCTGTTGTCAGAACTTGAACATTCCAGGCAGAACCGCCGTGGTCAAATGCAGCTTGATTGCAGATAAACGGCGGAGCTTGATGTGCATACGCATTTGCATGGAATGTTGCTTGCTGCTGGCTGCCTCCAAGCACGTTCATGCGTTCTTTCGGGAGGTCTCAATTTTTCTTCAGATACACCCCTGCATTCAGAAGTCTCTAGACTCTAAACCCGAGCAAGGGAAGAACAGACTGAACGTTATTTTCCGAGGTACTGTCGTTTTGGACGGCGGCAGCAGCGTATGTCTGGGCAGCGACCGCTGTCAGCAAAGTGGCGAAGATGGAAACTGCATAGGGAAGTACGGCAATGTCTCTTGTCCTGGCTTTTGAGCAGCTTTTGGTTGTGGACTCGTTCCGCAAACGGATCCCACAATCCCTGAACATACAGCGCAAGGCTCCGAACATAGACGCTCCTGCACAAACAGCAAGACTGTAAGCAAACCTCCAAAAGAAATCTGCTTCAGCTTTATGCTGAAGGACCTACCCAAAACACTACACTTCACTACACCGCCTTGCAGACCAAGGCTTGTGCGGAAGGCTCTACTGGAAATCTTTGCGGTGAATGTCCTACAGGCCTTCCTGCAAGCCCGCCTCTTCTACCAGAATCCACCCTTCAGTCCTGTATGTTCGATCTTGAAGCCGGGCCCCACTACAATGCTCTGGTAGCGGCATGTCACATTAAACCCGCAAGCATGCCTAAGCCATGACCAGGATGGTCTAGGCCAAGCTTCCGTGCCCCATGCCAGCTGTGCACCAGGAGGCGCCGGGCTATTGAGTTTACTGGTTTGTGGCTTCTCATAGGTGGGGGCGTCATCCGCCTCGCGTTTGGCCTTCAACCTTGGATGTTGCGGTACCCTTTGATAGGCCATCTTGCAGCTGGTGGCTTCCATCCTGGCAGATGCCTGGTTGCAAATAGTGAACTTTGAAGCAGGGCCCCAACAGCTCGGCTGAGATGCATCTGGCAGATTGTTCGATCTAAGTGCTGCCCAACACCTCAACAGACCCGTCAGCAACATGTCAGTTTGAAGTCCAACTTCCACTGCAGCGGCCAGTTCAGAATCTATGCAAGGTATATATGTTCTGAGGCATACTTGGGGTTGCGCAATGCTGATGTGAACTGTTGCTAGGATTTGCTAGCTTGTCCATGCGCTTCTCGTTTGGGATTAGGTGCTACCCATGGTGTTGGTCCCCCATTCAGGCTCGGGGCTCGGTATGTAGGTTCATGCGATCTTCTACAGAGTCAAGGAGATGATTTGCAGCAGCTTCATGACTCCATCTATCAAGATTATCAGTTCGTCAGCTCTTTCAACAGCGTATCCGAC